TGAACTTGAATATGAAGTCATTAGAGGCAATTTTTCTGTGACCTTTAAATTGACCTTTGACCCACTTTTTACCATGAACTTAACTTTGCAAATTTTGGTTCCCTTTTATCTCCAAAACTGGCAAAGATACGTCCATAGCTACTATTGAATTTGAATAGGAAGTCATATACTGGCAATCTAAGTGTGACCTTGAAATTGACCTTTGACCTACTTTTTATCATGAATTGAAGTTTACAAATTTTGGTTCCCTTTTATCTCCAAAACTGGCAGAGATAGGTCCATAGTTGCTATTGAACTTGAATAGGAAGTCATATACTGGAAATTTACTGTGGCCTTGAAATTGATCTTTGACCTACCTTACTATGAACTGAACTTTGATTGTACCATTTTTAGTTATATATATATTTTGCATATTTTGAGAATTCTTGTTGATTGAATTTTTTACAGCTTGTCAAGCACAAGACTGGTGTTGGTTTCCCTTTTTTGTGTGTGTGGGGGTCTATATGATCGCGCTTACTCCAGCTGGTGGTACAATATTCGGAGGCGGTATCGCCTCTCTGATCCTCTAGTTATCACATTATTACGTATTGAAGTTATAGTATAAGTAACCATATAAGCAAAAAATCACTGTTTCATTCGTGTTTGTAGGTGAACCTCTCAGTAAGCCTGCTACCCCCCGACCAGACCTACCAGTGTGTATTCGATACCACAGCTGTCAGTGCCACAGTCACTGGGGGGAACTTGGTGACATGTGACACACCCACCAGCTTACCCACTATACCAACTGGGGACGGTAAGGGGTGTTATCTTTCTTGTACAGGGTGACCATCTAAAAAAATCTACCTCACTCTTATCCATATATATACATGTATATACATAATCCGACTATTGGCAATGCTCGCAAATATATACCTGTAACATAGGTGTATATCCAAAACACGCTCACTTCAGTACACCTTTTACATTTTAATTTTCATTCAGTTTTTGAACGTGTATTTTAAAAAAGAATATTTAATGTCCCGTTGCGTCTTTCTTAGAATAAGTTTTTATGTTATAAATGTACCGCCCAAACGTTGTAAAAAAAGAGGCATAATAGCAACAATAATCCTAACAGAAATTTGCCTATTGCTGCAACAATGGATCACGTTTGTTCTTTTAGAATCCATGTCTATTAAATCATGTATATTAAATCGCATGCCAAAGGAAATATGACTATTGTTTCAGATCACATCACAATACCATTATCTATCAAATCAGTGACGACAGGAGTCAAGTTTTTAACGACCAACTTCACATATTTTGACTGTGGCGCACGCTCAGGGTATTGTATTGTTATACTTTATCTCTCTATCTTATTGGAATGACTACGAAGTCCCTAAGTTCTCGAAACAATTTTTTAAGAAATGCAAATTCATTGCTTAGACGTTACTTGCTGCATTGTGTAATCAAAGCAATTCGAAGTGTGAACATTAACTGATAATTTCCAATATATGATATATATCTCCATCTCTACCTAATAAAGATCATTCTTAAAGGACACAATTTAATTTTGATAGACATTAATTAAAAAGCATCCGCAATAATGCAACTATTTAACTAACTATATAACTGAAATAAATTGTACATATGCAAACAGACGGATAATAAACGTGGCACCTTAGTATTTAAATGTGTTTGTGTGTGTGTGTGTGTGTGTCCTGAAATGTCCCTATTCCACACCGCCTACAAATTTCACGGATTTTAGAATAAAGAGGAATCGTGGAATTTTGCACATTTTTAGTAGAAATCTAACTGTCCCTTTTTAGTAGAAATATTATCATCCCTGCTTGGGCTGTACTTCCAAAATGGATGTTCAACACAGGGCAGCTGTAATACTGGCCCTAGAATAGGAATAATATGAAAACAACTTGAGATAAACAGAAGACTGGTTTGAAACTTAAATGATTTCACGGTCTCTCAATTGCAAGAGCTGACTGACATTAAATAAGAAGTTAAGAGCTTAAAAATTCTTTCCCGATTTAACCAAGAACCCTGGGATTTATCAATTCTTGGCGGTTCGTGGAATTTTCAGTCGCTGTGGAATAGGGGCATAATAAACACTAGAACAATAAAACATTTTACCTGTACATATGCACACATACGATGAGGATATGTGGCTAATCTTAATGTTCTTTTTGTTAGATGTGTCTCTTGTACCAGTAGTAGTTGGGCCTGTGACTGGTGTATATATGCTAACACGTGCACCCAAGTCAGCAGTACTTGTAATCCTAGCGGAATGTTGATACCTGGACAGAATGTACGTTCAATTCCTTGTTAATTACTCCGTGTATACCTTATTTCGTGAAAATTTACATTAAGCCAGATAATACCGGTCACTCATACAGACATGTTTTTTCAAGTAAATGTGTTTCGTACCGGTTCTCTAAAATATGTCAACAGATAAAGACAATAAAAAATAAAAATAAAAATAAAAATATTCTTTTATTTATGCACAATCTTTAATTTTGGTGTTAAAGAACAGAAACATATTTCATTAATTAGAAATAGCACCGTCTTGTTTCCGTCATTTCAGAGTCATGTCAGTGTGGGTATTAAAGGTCCCACCCTGTGTCCCCAGCTCCGACCACGTACACATGATGTCCTGTTACCTGCTGGGGTCACCAAGGTGATTTCACTGAGTGGGAAGAACCTACTTGTGCCACAGGTAAAGATTCACGTAAATGTGGTTATAAAACACGTTGATAGCAGTTTGTACTTGTAGATATACACTCTTCCTACTTATGTTTAAATTCATATTCGCGATATACATACTGTACCATAGAGTTATGGGAAGGTAAACTGTGATTTTTCATTCTTACCATAAAGCAAGAGTTCAGTTCCAAGTCAGTGTCTATGACAAGGCTGACATAAATCAGACCTTCGAACTCAAAACAAAGTTTTATTAGGAATATATGAATGAAGTCCCACATTTTGCTGTACTCTGCAATCATTTTGGTTATTCTCAACCTAACCTCAATGATATTCCAGGCTGGCCAAGGTGATTATCAGTGTAAGATAGGCACTAACACAGTCCCAGCTATCAGACAGAATGATAGTGCCATAGACTGCCAGAGCCACGCTGTGAGCAGATATGATGCAAGGCATATACACGTACTGTATATATGATATATAATCTTTTAAATGTCACGCTGTTTTACAGTAGCTGATAGAATAACAGATCGAATATTGGTGCCCTCAAAATACTGATTTTGCAAGGCATACATGTATGTCCTTATCCAAACCCCCAACCGTATGCATTCTATGTATAAGTTTTGCAGCTTCATAAATGCCTTATATATTTAGATCTATATTAATACTGTTATAATTGGCGGCTTGTTCTTCTCATATCTCAGTATGTGTATACAGACATCACAGGCCAGGAGATACATGAAATACAAGTAATCTGGAATAATAACCATGTGATAGACCAACCCATAGGCTCTCAAGTGAGTGGTAAGTGTATTGCTATTATTACATGTATATGTGTACGTTTCCGTCTTTTTTTTTTTTTTTTTTTTTTTTTTTTTTTTTTTTTTTTTTTTGAGGCGCGTGTTATTACGCACGAGTAACAATAGCATTTTCATAATGGGATAAAATATCATCTGCATAAGCGCAAATATCGTCATTGTTTCATTCAACCGATCGTCTAATAAAAAAAAATATTATTATTCCATTTAGGTAAAAAAACAGAATAACGCCCAAAATCTCCTCAATAATAAGAGCTCTCCTAAAATGGAAACATACTGCATGCATATGAACTACTATTTGTAACACTTACACACATTATGGATACGCATACATGTTTTCATGTTGAACATGTATTGATTATTTGGTAATATTTTCAATATTTTCAGCAATCCTGTACAAGTGTAACATCATGGGCAGCACATGTGGCACATGTATTGGTGGTGTGGATGCACAGTTTGGCTGTGCTTTCTGTGGAGGGACGTGCAAGTATCGCCCAACATGTAGTGTGCCAGTTGAGAGCACTTGTCCTGATGTCATCATTAACTGGGTGAGTGCTGTAAGGTATTGTAAATGTAATGTTAAGAGTCATGTGAATTTGCTAATCATAATGGTAAGCCACATTGATTTCTAAGAAAACAAACTATTATTATACATATGAAAGATAATAGGGGAATGGAAAAAATCAAAAGATATATATATCCTAGAGAATGACAACTTTTAAAAATTCAACCATCTATCAGGTATCACCCTTGAGTGCCCCAGTTGAAGGTCACACCAAGGTCACCATCAATGGCACCAATTTAGGCACTTCTGATGCCAGTATTCCCACTGTTAGACTGGCTGGGGTGGCCTGTAGACCTGTTGTAGAAGATTATGTGGTCTCAAAGAGGTAAGGAACAGTGGGAATAGCAAAGTATGTTGACGCTAACTACTTGTGTCTAAACCTGAACGATTCCAGTATTTATGGGTATTATGGTCCGCAATCTACTCCAGTTAAAAAGAGGAATGTGTGACTATTTTATGGACATTTAATATTGGTTTCTAGGAAAATTTTTTGAACGGAGCTAAAATGGCCACTGTAACAGTTAGAATTGTAAGATTTTAGTAATAAGATGTGATTGTTTCGATTTAAAATGGAAATCCTTTTTTGGCATTTTTCTTATGCGTCCAGCAGATCCCATAAGATCGTAAGAACAAGGAGCTATTTCCTTCATTTTGTTAGTACCTAAAATCATGTCTGATCCTAGAATTGTGTGTACGGCAGCAGAAGCTCGAGGAAGGTTGCCCAGGAATGGTTCCATAGAGGTCCAGCTCCAGGGTTTAGGCAGGGTGTACAACTACTCCAAACAGTTCAGATATGTGGTGAGTTAGTGTCCTGAAATACATCTATATATCTAAACCAATGGGAATGTGGAATGCCAAGTGGCGTGGAAGAATATTAGATTTAGCACATAATATTAAATGGGAACATTTTGATGAGACTTTGCCCATTCATAATTGATTATGGTGTGAGAAGATAATATGTGTTTTGAAATGGATAACAACTCGTTATATCAGATTTAAAACTCCACATAATACATTGTGGACAACACATTGAAATTTAATAAGTTCCATTTAACCACCAAAGCGGCGGTTATTGCAATAATTCTGAAATCTTTCTCTGCCATCTGTCACGTAGACCTTCATAGATGACTACTGTCCGTAATAAGCTCTTAATGGGTTATAAAATATAAACACTTGAAACAATTTACTTACTTTGAATGTTGGAGCGGGTTCATTGCTGAGTATGGGGGCATCGTCGTTTACCCCCCGGGGAAATCCGTTTTATGACACATTTCACACCAAAATAAAAGCTGTTATCTCTTTAATTGCCCCTTTCAGGACCCCAAGCTGGGGGCAGTGTTCCCAGTGAAAGGCCCCATGTCTGGTGGCACCAGGCTGACTGTGAGGGGGAAAGACCTGAATGCTGGCAACCTGGACAATATCAGCCTTACCCTGGGGGAGGAAATGTTGCCTTGTGTTGTAGATAGGTAAGGATACGCCAGGTTGCAGGCGTTAGACGATATTAATTTTTGGGTAGTTATAGTTGCCAACTCCCTAAAAAACATTTACAAACAATGAAAAGCCAATATATTTTGAAAAACTGTATAAAATATTATCCAAACTAGAGAAGTTACAAAGCATGCAACCATAGTTATTTAGTCTAATTAGATTGTCATTAAAACAGTGAAATTGTTTAAATGGGTACAATCTGTTACATTTCCAGAAGTGCCATTGGTAGCCATTCCACCATTTGTATCACCCCAGGGGTCAGTAGGCCAAAGGCCGTGACCTCTGTCAGGATGTTCTTTGACGGCAGTGTAAGATTGCTGGACCAGGACCCCTTCACATACACTGAGGACCCTGTGGTGGAGAAAATAATGCCACTGACCAGTTTTGCCAGGTAACGTACATGATGCCCGTATGTAATAAGAACTTCATATTTTTGTAAAGATGCTCCAAGCTGAACTAATTTATTGATTAACATTTCACTCCAGCCAATCTTGTATGCTATCGAGGCGTTTTGAGTACACTTAAGTTTTCTCTTTCTTTTTTATTTTATTTTATTTATTTATTTATTTTGATACGTAGTATATTGATATTGCTACTTGGAATAATGTAAGTTATTAATAAGTATTCTTTTATAATTTAGCGGAGGACGGAATTTGACAGTCATTGGGAAGAATTTTGACTCAATTCAACAGCCAAAGATGTTTGTATGGAATGGAAAAGAAAAGTGGCACCCGACGGTACGTAGAAGGCGATTAATTTTTAATTTGGCGAGTATTTATACTTTTTTCTCTCTCTCAGTGGTGGGTTGTAAGGTATACCGTGCACCGTGTAAGTTAGTGTGGTTATTTGCTTATGGTGAGGGGTAGTTTGTCTTTTACCAGAAGTAGGAGTTGCCCACTAAACTATTTTTTATTTTATACTGTCTTTTTACACTCTGTCCACATGGCGAGCATACATGACAATCAACTGTTTTCGTCTTCCTGACAGAATTGCCTCCATCAACCAGAAATGTCAGACACCGTATTAACATGTCCATCGCCGAGCGCACCAGCCAGGATTACCCCATCGGTCCCCCTCACTTTAGGTTCCCTGCGGTTAAGGAGACAGCTGGACACCAATGATGCCGTGGAGATCGGCTTTATAATGGATGGAGTGGTAGCAGTGCAGAAATTAACCAACATAGCTTCAACTCTTCAATATGTTGTGGACCCGTTGTTCCAGAATTTGACCAGCGACGGCTCTAGTGTGAAATATCAAAGTAACACCAACTTCGTAATACGTGTGAGTCTATCTTTACTAAAGTCGGTTTCACGGCATTTAGCAAATTTGTTTCAAAACCAAAAATAAATAAATAAATAAATTATGGCGGAAATAACCGTATAAAATATGGTTATTTCCGCAATAAAAATAATGGAAATAAATGCTTTAAAATAAATGGTACATAAATACATTAATATTATAAAACACACTGCCGTTTTTCTACAACCTCTGCGTAATTTATTACCCCATTTTATGGACCACAATAAAAACGTCCATTGTAAGATTATTACATATTACAATAAAATCCACTATCATTCAACAGGGAAAATATCTCAACCTTGCTGCAAGTGAAGCAGACGTGATTGTTCTGATCGGTGGAAAGAACTGTAACGTCACTGCTTTGACTCACAGCGTTCTCATCTGCACACCGCCATATTTTGACTACGGAGATAAAGTGGTGACAGTAAGTGTGTCATTCCATTGTTTGTTTGTTCGGCGGTAAATGCATGCCCACTTTTTATGAATGGTACAAAGTATTGTCTGTCTCTTGCTTGTTTGGATCAAGGTAAAGAAAACTGCTCTTTCAAAAGCTCCACTTCGTAATTTGCTATCAATTAGGTTACGGTGAACATATTTCACACATGTATGTTACTGGAAAACGTATTTTTTCTTTCTAGATACATATGGGTAATTTGGAGTACCGAGTGGGATATTTTAACTATGGGGATCTTCCAGTTAGTTTTAGCTGGGTAGCAGGTGTAATTGTCGCTATTGCTATTCTGTCTGTCATTGGAATCGGTACCGGAGTCATAGTCTATAAAAGACGCGCAAAACCCACAGCTAGCAGTCACAATGGCTCCAATGCCACGGAGTACCTTGATTTAAGCAGTCAGATCACACTGCCACATGCTGTCAAAACTTCAGATGATGCTTTGGCGCTGGTGAAGGATGACGACTTAAAAGCTGCTTTAAAGCCCGTACTTTTGAGCAGAGAGAGGATTAAACTTGGGAAGTTATTAGGCACAGGTGGGTAAATGTTAATTAAGTAACATGCATGTTCATGTTAACTCTTGTTTAAAACTCACTTTCTAGCCTTAATTAAGCTTTCCCATTTACTCGACAATCCTGCCAAAGCAACATATGCTCACGAGCAAAGGATTTAATATGTGCACCCTGCTTCTGGTCTGATTTTTCAGATTTCACTAGAGTGAATATTGCGTTTAGTATAGTCATAGTGTGCACTGCGAATGTTTCTTATTTATTTGTTTGTTTTCTTGTTTGTTTCAGGACACTTTGGATGCGTCTTTGAGGCGATTTATGAGGACAGCGAAAATTATAACCCCTCTAAAGTAGCGGTGAAAACTTTCCAAGGTACATGGTATGGCGTGCTCGATCCTCATCTTGTGATATGAAATATCAATACATTTGTTTTTAATATAATTAAAATAATTTTATAAAAACAAAGATTGCTATTCTGATATTCTATAAATGGTCCCTTCTTGAAATACGAATGTGAAGACAAATATACATATTCAAACGTTGTTAGATAAATTTACTTCAAATGAATATATGCTGGGAACAGTGATGATGAAACGCTACTCAGCTGTCGCAAAAATATCGATGCACATCGATGCACATTTTGTGCATCGATTTATATATATATATATATATATATATATATATATATATATATATATATATATATATATAT